AAGTGGAGGCAGAAGCTTAAGCCTCCTTAATGATCTCCTGTTTACTCTGATTTTGGCCAGTAGCATCTCTCTGTTTGGGCTCTCTAATCACTGATGTTGTGAGTAATCTTGAAGCTTTGTGCGTATTTTGCAAAACAGCCTGGCAAACAGGCAAATGAAAATAGATGAAAATAGAGCAAAGTAATTTTTGTGCCATCTCTGAAAAAAAAAAAAAAAAAGCCTACAAAGCCTACATAAAAAGATGCAAAATTTTTTTAAAAAATATTCATTTACAGTAACAGTTTAGAAGAAAATAGGTACCTGATATAAACTGTTGTAAATTTTTGGAAGCTGGCAGCATTGGTATGCAACAGTTAAGATTTGACTTCTCTTTCAAACTCCTTTCAGCAAGAAATAGGACTTTTTGAGTTGATTTTCTTGAATTCAGTAATTCATTCTCACAACTTGAAAAAACACTGCCTGAGCAAGTGCATCCTTGTATTACCAGTTAGTCCTATTTGGATGTGTAGGAATGTAATGGCTCCAGTTGCAGACACAGTTTTGCTGCCTCTGCCTGTGAAAGACAAACAGGTGCATATATTTTTAAACATAGCTGAATGCACTTTTTAGAAATCTGGAAAACTGTGGGTTCTGTGAAGCTCTCAGTATATTAGCTGCAAAAAAAATGCATATTGCTAAATCTCTCTAAGTTCAGTAAGGTCTCAGTTTTTTGGTCTTTTTTTTTTTTTTTTTTTTGGATAACCATGGGAGATTGGTGGCTCAGTGTGGACAGATAGACTATTGAATGTGGGAAAAAATTGTTACTCTGACAAAAACAGTTTAATTGAAGATTATTCTTAGATGCTTAAGCCAATGCATGAATCCAGTCTCAGTACATTAATTTGTGAGACTTAAAACCAGTTAATGTGTTTTGTTTTATTTGTTATTTGGCTGAGCAGATGGTAATGGTTTTGACACAATTCAGTTTTTTATTTTTCTTCTTTTCTGTTCTTGAAAAAGACAAGGCTCTTTTTCCCACTTTGTCACAGCTGGTTACCAATCAATCTCAATTCACGGTACAGTGATGATAGCACATGTTGTTCAGGGGCCAAATCTGATTGGGTTGCATTTTCAGCAGTTTTTCATACAAAAAAAAAAAAAAAAATCGTGTCTGTATGGCAGTGACTGTCAGCACACTATTGTACAACTGTCATTAATCAAAACTAGCAACAATGAATGCATTCATATGTGCCAGAGACTGCCAGATTTCACTCAGAATCACCTAATTTCTATTAGAATTTCCTCACCAGCAGTGCTTTCTCATCTGCTTGTTGTTTCTCTATTTCTTTCTTCCTTTCCAGGCCCCCGCCCTCTGCTTCCTTTTTGGTTAATTAAAGTCAGATCTGCTCTATATATTACTTGTAAAACCGAAATTATGTAACGTGGTGCCCAAAAGTGCCTGGTTTATATCTAGGCACAGGCTGTTGAAACAACCTTTCCCAGCTCAGTCTGATGGCTGAGGTCTAAGCTGAATGAAAAATTAAGCACCTCCAAATGTTTAACAAAGAGAAGTACTTAAAATCAATTAGATGGCCATAAACATGTGAAACTTATGTCTGACACCCTGTATTTTTAGCTGAATGTTGGCATTATCCGACCAGGAGTCAGCAGTATTTGGGCAATATGTCAGACAGTGTTTCTTGACACTGCAGGTGTTTAGAAGGCATTGCCACCTTAGTGCACTGGCAGCATGAAGGGCCAACTTAACCAGGGCCTCTGGTTTTCCCCCGTTCCATCATCAATCCTGGAGCCTGGTAATCTCCCTCCGTGACTGATATTAGCAGTCAGAGAAGCCATGATTCTGATTCCCAAGGTTCAGTAGCACTAATCCAGTTGAGAGTGAACTTCTCCAAAAACTCTGGTGTAGACATATTGCTGTGGAAATCTCACACTCTAGGGGGAAGAGGAGACAAGACGCAGTCCAAGACTGTGTAGATGGATGTTTGAGAAACTGAAAGCGCATTCAGGTGCCTGTTACTTCGTGATCACTTTCTCATACAAGCTCCTTGTGCTGCTGTGGATCAGGCTAAAAGCCAATTTTCTGCCTTTCTCCTTCCTGCCTGCTTCATCTGTCAAAGTTCTTCACTGAACCATGGTGACTTCTGGGGACAGTGTGGGTGGAACAGATGACTGAGGGACAGCGTATCAATACTCCAGGACAGCAGATGGTTATAATGTCCCATGGGTCCATCTATGTATGAATTTAATTGCTAGATGGAGCATTCTGTCAGTGTGGTCCAAAAACCCAGTATGGCCTTCTTAGAGAAGTGGACTGGGAAGGCTGGACCTCCCCTTGAAGTAGTTGATAACTGGGCCATGCTAGCGACATGTTTACACCACCCTCCGTTTCACAGCCCAAGTGGGAGATGATGGCTGTACCCTCGCTCTGCGTCCTGGCATGCCACGCAGCTGGCTCGTTCCCCCAGCAGTCTTTGCATAATTTGCATGATTGGCAGGTGCAAGCATAAAGACTGCTGAAGCCTCCAAGGCAGCTGGCTGGCATGCCAGCACCAGCACATTGGTGAGATGAAGAGTGAGTCAGCTGCAACCCACAGCAGACCGAAGGGCCCTGTCCCAGGCTGCCTACATCCCAGTTCAAGCAACCACTCAGTCAGATGCAGTCCTGCTGCCTGTCTGTTTTTATCTCGGCAGCAGTTAGTGAACCACAGAGGGGTCATTTGTCCTAAAAAAACCCCAAACAAACATAAAAAAAAAAAAACAACCAAAAAACCCAAAACAAACCCAAAGTAATCGTTGCCCAGCTTTACAGGTATGATTCCTGTATCCAGCTCATATTTGTGTTACAACTGGACTTAGTTTTCTCATCTTACAGGAGCTGAATACGACTTCATATTTTTAGTCCCCTAGGGCTGGCCTCATGTCAACAAAATAAGCATTTTTCTTGCCTGCAAGTCTGTGGTCGCCAAAGACAAGTAACTGCTCCTTCATTGTGGGGTACTGTTGTCATATCCGTGAGATTTTTAAGGGAAACAATTTGCTGTTTCTCTCTTACAAAAACAGTGACTTCTATTGACTAGCCCAACGCAGCATGCAAAATGACATAATTTGTGAGCAGCCGAGAACAGCATGTGGCTGTTGAATATAGTTGCACTAGATCTATACTGCTCCAGAAACGGTACATTATGTTCTCGAGCGTCATAATTCCTCCGCACCCCTGGTACTACACTTGCAAAAAAATTGTCCCTAAAAGTTTGCCGTGGCATCTACTTATTCTTCCCCTTGGCATATCTTTTATTCCTTATTTAAAACTGAGGTACTGCATATTCATATAGTTAAGGGTAACTCCTAACTAAAGACTTCGTATTTTATGTGTTTGTGTTTATCTCTGACAGAATGGTTAGCCTCAATTTGGTCTTTTTAAATTTTTTTTGCCAATGAATAGAATGGACTTACAGAATATAGAATGAAATCGTATTGTAGGGAGTATGAAAAGATGTCTTAACTCCTCTACATTCTTGGAATTGCTCATAATGCTTTTATTGATGTGAGTTTGAATTAGACATAGCAGAACTTAAAATGTTTCATCATGTAGGATTCTTTGAGTGAAGGTGCTTTGAAGTCCGTTATCCCTCAGTGCTCTCTCGACAAATCTATACTAAAGGAACCAATAGCAATGTATATTATGTACGTAGAAATTAATGTTCCAGATTCCCAAAGCACTTAAAAATACTCATAGAGTCTCACAACATTCCTGTAACTAATTGCATTGCATTCTTATTCATCAAAATACTTAAAGGTGCTTTTCTATATTATTTCAGTATGTTTGCTGAACAAGTCTACACAGTCTTTATAACAAAGAGAAAGTAAATTAGTTCTTGTGAAGTTATGAGTGTGTATAGAGTGAGAAGGAGTATTGACATCTCCTGAAGTCTCGATCTTATAGTTTCATCTTCCTATTTCACTATTTGATACATGACAATCTGAAGCTAACTGTAGATTCAAGGTAACTTAAGGTATCATGGGCTTATTATGTCTATAAGAAATATTGTTGAAAATAATTTTACAAGAGGGTATTTCGAGAGTAAAATACCCATACTGAAATCCAGGATTTTCCTGATTTGGCAGCCAAAGAAATTTCACACAAGATAAAGTCTCCCGTTGACTGTAATGGGCTTTGAATCAAAGCCTAAAATAGTTTATTAAGCATGACTTCTGCAGGCAAATAACAATTTAACTGAAAGTACTGTTGCAAGCACTCTAAATGCCTTGAGAATGAATGTTCACTGCATGCTGAAGTACTTTGTATTATTTCAAGTACATCCTCATAGTTCTAGAATTATGACAATAGTAGAAACAAAGAAATGGACAAAGCATAACCAAATTGTTTCTAATTTCTTTTAAGAAGAAGCCCCTTAATGAATAGCCTTGTAATATTTCTGTGAAACTGATGAATCTCATTTCATGTGCCTCTTCAATAAATGTCACCTTCCAGAGCTTAAATATACGTTGGGTTTTTTTTATTGTTTACAATTGTGTAGTGTCAGATTCTACCAACCTGCTCACAATTTCCCTAAAGCGTTGCTGCTATAGAGAAAAACTATATATAAAAGGGTCGCTTCCGAATCGACAAAAGGTAAAATGTGTAGCTCACATAGTTAAAGACATGATAAAACTGAGCTGTCATGTATTGATAAGTGATGTCTGATAGCTTAATTTTATCTTATTGCTCTAGATCAAGGACAAAGTGAATGGTATTATTAATAAAGCCCTAATACCGAGTGAGCATACCAATACTAATTTTATGTAAAGTTTCTAACTAATTCAGAGCGTAATAAAAATGTCATGAAGATTAATGCTTGGTGGAATTATCTAATGCTAGATAATAATTTATCTTGCAAAGTTGGCTCCAAGATAGATTCAGACTGGTATATTCCAGGTGAGAGTTTTTGTTCATTTCTGTTGTTTACAGAAAGAGTTGTCATTCTTTTTCTGTACCGCAGGTATGACATCAAAGACGACTACACTTTGCGCATTAAGAAGGCCGCGAGCACAGACGAAGGGACCTACACGTGCATTGCTGAGAATCGAGTTGGAAAAGTGGAGGCCTCTGCTACCCTCACGGTGCGAGGTAGGTGTTCCCGTGGAGAGGGGGCCTGTGTCCTGTGTGGATAAGTTGCTCTCTGATCAAAGGGACCACGTCCTTACCTGGCGTTATCTGGGTTTCACGTACCCATTGCAATTGCAGGTGCTGCACTGATCTACAGTAGAGGTGAAATCCCGGTCCCATTGATATCTCGGGCAAAATTTGGACTTCAACAGGATAGGATCTCCCGGCAGTTAAAGAGCTGTTCCAATGTTTTTTTTAATGAAGAACAGATGCATAAGCAAACACTACATAACCGTGGGCATAGACTTTAATATGGGAGCCATCAATTTAGCCTGTTATTTGTGTTCCTTTCTCTAAGAAGTATAAGAAGTATAGTAAGTAACTGATTATTAATGCCAAATGTAATGCAGGTAGTATTGTTATGTGATTAGCTCTGCCATAAATAAACTCTCTACCATTACTCTTTATCTGAAAGATAAACCCTAGCCAAAGGAAAAAGAAAATCCTATTCAAATATTACAAGTATTACAAGGTAAAGACTAACATGTTCTCTCCTAAAATATGCTTGGTCTCTAGTATCCACCCAGTGTTCATGTGCTGCTGTTTGATGTAGTAAGGAGGTTTTAAGACCAGTGGAATAATGAGTTGCAAAAGTCTTTTGTGACAGTAGATACAGACATGCTAAAGATTATGGGGACAGAAAGTTTGTAGGGTAATATTTCCATATGAATAAATAGAATATAATAGTTATTACTTCATTCAAAAGATAAGCAGCAATTTGGCACAATGGATATCATGAAGACACTATTTCACAGCTTAGTGGTGCATGCTGAGGGTTTGCAGTAGAGCTGTGAAAGGTTAATAAAAACATTTTTAGCTTTATCTGTTCTCTTCTTTTCATACACATTAAATCAAATGTTCAAAGTCTCAATGGATTGCTTTATTAGAACTGGGGTCAACTGACCCAAGAGGCCAGCTTCCATTTCCATCCATTTAATGCATGGACACAGTTCAGTTTAATTTGCTGAATTCACAGGGAAAAAAAAAAAAACAAAAACAAACAAATGGTTTTGTGGTGGGGGGAAATGTTAGTATATAACAAAGCAAAGAGGGTACTGGGATAATCCATCTGCTAAAATATTACCTCAGTGTTTGCTTTAGACAATAAGTGCTAATGCAGCTCTTCTGTTTTAAGCTGAAGAAATAAGTTTACCTGCTACATGTTTCTATAGGAAATTGTTCTTCCATTTTGTAACATGAGAAAAATAGTCAGTACAGTGAACTCCCAGGAATACTCTCATTCTGCTCCTTTGTCACAGGTAAAATCATGGTAACCAATAAATCTGGCAACCAATTTAACAGACCTTAAATGCTCCTAGAACTGTGTCCACTGTATACACTACTGGAGCAAGCCTTTCAGAATTTCTACCCAGACTTGTGATATAAACAATAGATAGACCCAAGCAAAAAATCCTTTGAAATCACTGAAGCTTGAACCTGATGAAGTTAAGGTGGAAAAAAAACAAACAAAAAAAAAACTCAAACCAAACCAAAAAAAACCAAACCAAACCAAACCAAACCAAACCAAACAAAACAAAACAAAAACTTAATTTTTCCTATAGTAAAAGCAAGTTTTCATTATCTTGGGTATTTTCTCCCCCTGGGTTTGTCATTTGTAGTCAAATACACAGTGTTTTTCCAACACAAAGGAAGCCACAATATTATAAGCATATTAAATGTTCAGGATATGACAGAAAATGAGAAAAACCAAGCACTGAAATGGAGAAGGCTACTCTGGATTTTCTAGAACTAAAGGACTGGGGAAACTCCAACCATAAGCAGTGTTCTCTTTAATGAAAGGAAGCCTTTGTTCTGAATTCCTAAACTTCTGTCAGTTTTTTCTGAAACTGCTTTTACTGTAACCACTTGTCCCATAGACAAGCAAAACCACATTCAAAATTTGAGGGCGCCTTGGTCCTTGCAGCGGTTGTTGCCAGGTTTGCAACTGTAGCTACACAACAGCATAATCTTGAGCTCCCTCACTCATGACTTGGTCTTCTCAAAGCAGGGGCTGAGCATGCAGTCAGGAAATTTGTGTTGCACTGTCACAAACAACAACAGAATGTGAATTCTGCAACTCAGCCTTCATGCCCTCTCTTGGAAAGATGTGTATTACTGTTAGTCCTCATCTCTCTGCAGAAGAAGGAATATATTAATAACACTGGAAGCCAGAAAGTCTCCAAATAGATGGGGGGTGAGAAAGGGCAGCAGGCTTGAAACAGTTAAATAAAGCGAGTATGCCAAAGTAAGGATAAAGCCATAGAAGAGTTGAGAACTAGGAAGGTGCATGCTGTGTTGCCTCTGAATCTGTGTCCCTCACATACGACCATGCCTGCACATAAGCTTCTAGAGATGGTTAACTGCTTAAAATAAATAAATGAATAAATAAATAAAAAATTAAAATGTGCTGTTGCTCAGAAATGTGTAACTGCTTTTGCTGCTAAAGTAAGGAAATAAGGGAAGTTTCACCTGCAAGATACAACCTCAAGTCAATTTTATGTCCAAGTTTTCAGCTCTTCTGAAAGGCGATGCCTACATTTTATTAACAGAGGGACTGACAGCCCTCTTCCCCAGCACAAGTATAACGAAGGGCTGTTGCTTCAACAAGAAATCACTTGTAGCAGCAGCTTTCAGCCTGGATATCAACCTGAAACAGTATTAACCTGTCGATCATTTAGCAGAAATTTTTTTAGGAAGTAGAAGTTATCTTAGCAGTAATTTAGGAGGTTCTGGGTTGAAATCCCTGCAGCCTTTTCAGCCTATTTGTTATATTTTCATCAGCTCTGTCAGTGAGGAGAAAGCGATGTGCTGTAAGCTTTCATGCCCATTATTGGATGAGAAAAACTGCCCTAGGTTTTCCCCATAGCCCTTACTGCTGTACTGACTGGTCATGCTTAAAATTCAATTGGTATTTGACTCGGAAAGCAAACGCCTTGCATCTACTGGCATGACATTTGGCAGTCTTGTGGCTTAAATCGATGTGTCTATCAGGATCTAAAAGTTTGTGCTAATGCAATGCAATTTTTCTTTTATCAGGCATTAACAATAACGCTTGATGATGGCATGCGGAGATAATAAAAATGTTTCTCAGAGAATGGTTCCAGTCAGCTTGTTCAGAGGCCATGCTCAAGTACATGGGATAACAGTGGCATGTGACTGAACAGTAACCATTTTATTTAGGCTGTCATTTGAGGGGTTAGCAATCATGGTAGTATCCATAATGGAAGGTAACATTACACGTCATGCATTCTGACAGATATTCTTTTCTTTTCTTTTTTTAATTTCTTTTTTATGTTCTCACTACACCATTGTAATGTCAACAGCTCGCCCTGTTGGTAAGTAACCATCCTTCTATCCATTTTAGCATGGCTTCATGCAATGCTTCATCTCTCATTTGCAAGAGCATCTAACTGGCTGAAATTAGCAGCCAGTGCTTAATAGTTTTAACTGTCTAACACCAGGTGGTTTTGACTGAGAAAGTGCTATTTCTCAACTTTGTATTTTATGCTGTGTCATGTATAAATGCATTTGCCAAATCGCCAACAGATACCGATCGGTGGAATGGAGTGAGTGTGGTGACAGTGAGCCAAAATCACTCATTTGTATGTTTTTAACAGTCTGTGTAAGGGCCTGGTATAAAAGCCATTGAATTCAAGAGGAAGGATTATATTGACTTCGGTGAGCTTCCACCAGGCCCTACATGATCAGCTCATTATGCTTTTATTGCATACCAGTAAAAGCACAGGCTTTGCATGTCCTGTCTTTCTTGTATCTTTCAAAGAGTTTTGAAATGAAGTAATCCTGAAATTGAAGTGGGGATGGAGTAGATTTCCGTGCTTTTTAAGAAAGTTCATCATTGAATTTTGCCCTTGGGTCATCTTGTAGTGCATTTTGGAATGCACTCTGTATGATGCAGACTTTTTTGAATAACAAGTCCAGAGGAGGACGACCTCTGGATTTTCAATTCCCACACTGAAAATTTGATTTTTTTTTTTTTCCTGAGTCTTGGAAATGGATTCTGAAAATTTATAAAAATCTAAATGAGCATAATAGAAAATTTGCAAATGTCAGCAGTTGAAATTAACTTTTGGTGTTCAGAAATACCCTGAATATATTATTTAATTTTCTTTCACGGATGTTTACTCTGTGCCTGTATGGATTTTCTAAATAGTTTAACCAGTTGCACTGCTACTCTGATTTTTGTAGTCTGTGTTTAGATGTATCTTTTTGAATAATAATATGGTTACTCTGATTATTTTGGATTAATGTGAAAAGCTGGTATTGGTGCTTATGGAGGTTGCTGAGGAGTTTAGTCTTTATTTAGTCAAAACTTCTGTTAGATGTGTGTTTGACTAAAGTTTGTGAGTTTGAACTTTTCTTAAGTCTTCACTGTTATGATTTTGGAGGAAGAAAGGTTGGAAAAATTTAAAGGTAAAATCCAGGTTAGACCTCTGTTTCCAGAGATAAGGTGATCCCATGCTTATTAGTTTGCTTGAACTAACATACATAGAGCCAAGGCAAGCAGCTCTGCAGTCACAGTATGGCTTATGCTTACCTGCAGAATTCACTGGTCTCCATTTCAGATTTTGATAGCAAGCTTTAAACCCCAGTCACTGCTGTATTACTTGGGCATTATACTAGTTCTCAATAAATTAATTCCTGGGAGTTGTAACTGTAAAACTGGAGTAAACTTTTTAAATAGTTTTGTTTGCTTAGACAATATAGTAGGAATTTAATATGCTTCTAATGCCAGTCTTTCATGTTAGGGAGAAGGGGGGGGTCGGGTTATGGCTGCTTCTTTAAGATTAAAGCATTTTATTTCTAGATATTTTTCTCCCTTTGCTCACTCTTAAAAGAAAAGCAAGAAAAAAAACCACGAAGTAGAGGCTATTTCAGGCTCTGTGGAAGCCACATAAAATAGATGAGTGTAGATTCACAAAAAAATTATAGGTTTCAGCAGT